TTAAAAAAAAAAAAAGTTATACTCAAGTTTCTGGAAGTGAAGGAGAAAAACCTGACTAGAAGGAACATAACTTTAGGCACTTTGGTGACACAGAGTAGCCTAGGTTTTGGGGGTGGGTCTTTGCTTGACGCTGACAGTGTAGCAAATATTGCATGACACCAACAGTAAGAAAACTGTGAGTTTCATACGGCTCCTGAGTTCCTGACTTACAAGAACAGCCATGCCCACCTGACTCACCTAGAATGTGAGAGTCAAATAAAGGAGCAAATAGAATTCTGTACATCACACAGTGCTCACTTGTAAGGTAACAGAAAGTTATCCCCTGCTTTTTAAAAGTTCATTTAATTTTACAAAAGACCTACATTAGTACCTGTTTGTGCTAACCAGAAGAACTGAAAGGAGGCTTCTCATTTCTGTGATAATTTACAACAAAAGACAGAAAACAAAACTAGCTTGATGGCAGCAGCTGTCACAGAAGCAACAGACACCCCACAACAGCGAGGAGGGCACCGCTAAGCTTCTTCCTGGGTACTATGGTATACAGGCTGTGTATATTACATCACCCTGCTAAACATATGCGAATGTTATTTAGAGTTTTATGTGTTATCTGTTATGGCCCGGAGGTTAGGTTTTCAATAGAGAAACACTCAAAACTTTTGCCATCAAAAAGACAAGAATTGTTTTCTTGTTCATGCTGCTGGGGAAGAGGGAGGTTCATTACAAGCCTGGCCAGCGCCCAAAGGTTTAGCAGGAAGTGCCAGGCTGAAGGATAAGAACCAGCTCCAGATTTACACTTTAATATCCTGATTCCCTGGAGAGAATTCTCCCTGTGTCTTCTTTCTTAAAATCCTTACTCCCCCTGCATAATCTCCTGGATTGCTGGTTTCATCTGCCCCAGCACAAATATTCACTCATAAATTTAGATTCTTCTGCCTTTCCCCAATGATAGAATGGGCAATGAATCCTTACACATTCAGGGGAAAGAAATATTCCAGAAAATCCCAACTCTAGTGGCCATTTCTTTCCACATTTTGATGACCAGTGTCACCTTTCATGATCTTCCTCCAACTGCATAATGACTTCATTTTTGTTTCATAGATTATAATCTCTCTAATACAGAGCACTGCTGAACAAAGCTTGATTTAA